CCCGGTCCTCACAGAGCCCCCCCGATCCTCACAGATGCCCCTCCGGTCTTCACAGACCCCCCTCCGGTGCGCACAGACACCCCCGATCCTCACAGATCTCCCTGACCCTCACAGACCCCCCTCCCGTCCTCACAGATGCCCCCGACCCTCACAGATCTCCCTGACCCTCACAGACCCCCCCCCCACCTTGCCCAGCCGCCTCCCCCCACCCAGCACCGGACAGCCCCCCCCAGACTGGATCCCCCACCCCAAAGCCTCCCCTGCCCCCCCAAATCACACAGAACCGGCTGTACTGAGGCTCCCTCGGGATCATTTAATCCCCCTCCGGACCTCCCCAGCCCCCCGTAAGAGACGCTAGGATGGGCTGCGCCCCCCTGCCCTGATCCAGCGGGGCTCCCCCTCCCTCCCGGGGGGTCACCGCGTAGATCTCGATGTCCCCCTCCGGCTCTCGCCGCAGCAGCTGCACCCGAAAAAACGGGGGCAACATCTGGCGGAAGAAGCGGGAGGCGCCGGCGTCGCCGCCCCGCAGGCGGGCACTGAGCAGCGCCTGGGCCGGGGGCACCACGAGGTGCCGGAGGGTGCCCAGGAGCGGGGCGAAGGCGCGGAGGTCGTACACGATGTCGGAGCCCAGGATGAGGTGGAATTTGGGGGGGAAGCGGCGCTGGTCCCGCCCCCAGCGCAGCGCCCGCACCCGAGGCTCCCCCGCGCCGCCCGGGAAGTTCCGCCGCGCGTTCTCCCGCAGCTGCGGCAGCGCCGGCGGCCGGTCCGTGAGCGTCACCTCCGCCCCTGCACCGGCAGCGCGGCCGTCAGGGGATACAGCCCCCTAGGTAACCCCCCCAGACCCCATCTTACCGTGAATCAACGCGTGGGTCACCCCAGTCTGATCCCCCACCCCAAATTCCCAGTAAACCCCCCCCCCATCCCGAAAAACCCCGAATCAGAGTAAGGGTCACCCCCACTGGACCTCCCCAAACCCTCCCCGACCCCACTAAACCTCGAGTCAAAAGGGGGGTTAACCACCTCCCCTGGATCCCAATAAACCACAGGGCTGCTCACACCAGTTTCCAGTTCTGTGCTGGGCAGAGTAATGGGGATCCCCCCAATCCATGGGTGCCCCCCTATCCCAGGGGTGCCCGTCCCTGGTCCCACAGGTGTCCCTACCCTTTCCACAGGTGCAGCCCCAACCACAGGGGTGTCCCCCCCAGCCCCCCGAGTGCCCCCCGCCCCAGGCCCGCCCCGTCCCCCCCGCACCCAGCATGGCAGCGAAGATTCCCACGATGCCGGTACCGGCCCCCAGCTCCAGAACCCGCCGCCCCGCCAGCTCCAGGTTCTGCTCGCCCAGGAACCGGCACAGGGACAGGGCCTGGGGGAGCACAAAGGGGGGGTTGGGGTGCGGCACTGCGGGGACGCCGAGCCTACGGAGTCCCTTGACCTGATCCCCCCGTGAGGGACCCCTTCCCCACGGATCCGTAGGGACCCCCCAACGCCAAGGCCCCTCCACCGGTTCTTCCCGTGGCCTCCAGGGTCATCCCCACCCCCAGTGAGCCGCCCCCCGAACATCACCACCGCTCCAGGATGCCCAGGACATCCCCCCATCTTCTCAGGGTGCCCATTCCCGGTGCCCCCAACCCCTCCGGTGTTCCCCATTCTCTCTTCTCTCGGGTACCATGACTAGGTACCCACCCCCATCATGCATCATTCCCGGTGCCCAACGCGATGTCACAACGCCGCCGTTGCCCCCGAGACCCTCCTCACCCCTCCGGTACCCCCATTCTGTCGAGGTCCCCCACCGCGCATCCCTCCTGCCATCCCCGGGATGTCGTGTGTGTCCCCCCGGGATCCCCCGCCACCCCATCACCCCGTGCCCCCCTCGCCATCACTCCCAGTACGCCCGGGATGTCAACTCCCCGCTCCCGGTGTCCCCGATATCCCCGTACACTCGGGATCCCCCGGCTTTCCCCATCACCCGGAGTTTCCCGGGACCTCCCCAGACCTCGGTGTCTCCGGGATGTCACCTACAGCCCCGGCGACCCGGGAACTTCCCCCGTGCCCCCCCCCCCGGTGCCGCTCACCGCCTCCCAGACGGCCCCGGCCGGCCCGAGCCGCGGCCCGTGGTGCTCCGCGATGTGCAGGACGCGCCCGCACAGCCGGAACCGGCGCCGCTCCGGGAACAGCTCGGCAAAGAGCGCGGGGTCGCGGGGGAACACGGCCCGCAGCGCCGCTTCTGCTGCTTCTCCTTGCTCCTCTTCCTCTTCCTCTTCCTCTTCCTCTTCCTCTTCCTCTTCCTCTTCCTCTTCCTCTTCCTCTTCCTCCTCTTCTCCGTTCTCTTCCTCCGTCTCCCGGCCCCCCCCGGTCCCCACGTGGCTCCCCGGCGCTGCCATCGTGGAAGGGGCGGGGCTAGGTCGAGCCCCCCGAATATGATTGGCCGATGCCGGTTAAGCCACGCCCCCCTCAGCTGGTGATGGGGCTCCGCCCACGGCACGCGCTCTGTCCCGGAGACGGTCCGGTGTCCTCAGGTGTCCCCCGATGTCCCCCAGTGCCCCTCGATGTCCCCTGGTGTCTCCTTCCCCATCCCGGTGTCCCCCAATGTCCCTCAGTGTCCCCTGCTCCATCTGGTGTCCCCCAGTATCCCCCGATGTCCCCGGTGTCACCTGCCCCATCCCCGTGTCCCATCCTATATCCCATTGTCCCCTGGTGGGTCCCTGCCGCACCTTGACCTGTCCCTTCCCCATCCCGGTGTCCCTCTCCGTCCTTTGATGTCCCCTGCCGTCCCGCCCTCCCCCCTCCTCCATCCCAATGTTCCCCGGTGTCCCCAGTGTCGCCTGTCACATGCCGGTGTCAGCGGGTGGGTCCTAATGTCCCCTGCTCCATCTCTGGTGTCCCCAAGCCAGTCCCCAGTGTTCCTTGCCCATTCCAGTGTCCTCTTTCTCCTTCCCAGCACAGCAGAGCCCGGTCCTGGTGTCCCTTGCCCTATCCCACTGTCCCCTCCCCCATGCCCTTGTCTGCTGCTCTGTCCCCAGTGTCCCCAGTGTCCTGGTCACCCCCGGTCCCAGCCCCTTCCTTGCCCCATCCCTGGTGTCTCCTGTCCCCCCACCCCTGTCCCCAGTGTCACCCCACTCCCAGCCCTGTCCCCATCTCACCCCAGCAGTCCCTCCAGGGGTTCCTCCCAATGCCACCACCTGTCCCTTCCTGCTCCTGTCACTGTCGCATCAACACCAATGCCACCAGTGCCACTGGTATCACCACAGCCCTGGGGGCCTGATGTCCCTGATCCCAGGGTCCTTGGTCAGGGTATCCCTGGCCCCGTGTGCCTCGTCCACTTGTCCTTGGTCCCTGCTGTCCGTGTCCCTGCTGTCCATGTCCCTGTCACACCCGTGTCCCCAATCCAAGTGTCCCTGTCCCCAGTCCCTGGTGTCCCTGATGGCCTTGGGTATACCTGGCCCCATGTCCCTCATCCCGATGTCCCTGGTCCCACGTCCCTGTCCTTGCTGTCCCTGTCCCCCGTGTTCCTTCTCACTCCTTATCCTTGCTGTCCCCAAGCCCTGTGTCCCCCAGTGTCCCCCTGCCCCAGCTCACCCCTTTCCCTGTCCCACTGTCCCTGGCCAGGGAGGGGGACACAGTGCCAGCCTTCCTCCAGTTCCAAATGCCACCCCCCGTGCCAGCCGTCCCGTGTCACCCCTCGGATGCCATCTCCCCCTCCCAGTGCCACCAATGCGGGGGTGTCACAGACCCGTCCCCGATGCCACCTGAGCCGGGCTCACCGGGGGGGTGAGGAGGTGACCCCGAGTGTTCCGCGGGATAATGAACAACCGCTAATGAACCCCGGTAATGAACAACCCGCCCCGGTTCCCCCCGGGTCCCCCGGCCCCGCTCGAGACCCCCCGCGCAGCTGCGTCACCTCCTGCGTCACCGGGTTAATGGTGGCCCTGGTGTCCCCCGGGGTCAGCGCTGGGGCGGGACGCCCTGGGGGGGTTGGGACGCCCTGGGAGGGTCTGGGCGCTGGGGGAGGGGTCGGTGCCTGCGTCCCCCCTTGCCCCTCTACCCCGTCCCGGGACCCCCGCCCGGTGCCGTTCCTGGAAGCCCCGGAGGGACCGGCCGGGACGGGAAGCGACCGGACGGGACGGGCGGGTGTGACCCCACATTGCTCAACCCCCCCGGTCCTCCCGACACCCCCAGGGCTTCCCAGAAATCGCCCCCGGCTTGGCCGCAGCCGAATTCCCCAAACGGCCCAGAGCGGGAAGAGCCCGCGGAGGGGGGGATGGAACTGGGAACACTGTGGGGGGTGGGGGAACTGGGAACACTGGGTGTGCTGGGAGGACTGGGGGGACTGGGGACGCTGTGGGGTACTCGAGGGACTGGGGTGTTGGGGGGACTTGGGGACCCTCTGGGGACTGAGGGCAGTGGGGGCAACTGGGGCCCTGGGGCACCAGGGGGATGGAACACTGGCAGGGACCATGGCGGGGTAGGGGACATGGGGGCACTCCAGGGGAGGTGAAGTTGGGGCATGGGGGACACTGGGAGCAATGGGAGCACCGAGAGGATGGAGCCTGGGGAGCACTGGTGGGGCTGGGAGGGCTGTGGACACTGTGGAAACTGGGGAGACTGGTAGGACTGGGGGTCACTGGGGGGCACTCGTAGCACTGAGGGGCACTGGGAAGACTGGAGAGGGGCACTGGGAGCACTGGGGAGAATCATTTGGAGCACTGGGGGGCACTGGTGAGAATCACTGGGAGCACTGGGGGGCACTGGTGAGAGTCACTGGGAGCACTGGGGAGGGTCACTGGGAGCACTGGGGAGAACCACTGGAAGCACTGGGGGGCACTGGGGAGGGTCACTGGGAGCACTGGGGAGAACCACTGGAAGCACTGGGGGGCACTGGGGAGGGTCACTGGGAGCACTGGGGGGCACTGGGGAGGGGCGCTGGGCCGACAGGGGGCGCTGTGAACGGGGGGGGCAGCCAAGGTTCGCCCTGCTGGCAGGTTGCATGTGACGTCACAACCCCGCGCCGCACTCTGACGTCATAGTTCCGCGCCGTAAGGTGCTGCCATGGCGGCGGAGGAGGAGGAGGCGGCGTTGCCGCCCCAGAAGCGCTTCTACCGACAGCGCGCGCACTCGAACCCGCTGGCCGACCACACCCTGCGCTAGTGAGTGCGGGCAGCCCCGGGACCCGCCCGGGACCCGTCCGGAACCCCCCGTAACACCCAGGCCGGGTCCCGGGACCGCCCCAGCGGCCGCGTCGGGGCCCCCCGGCATGGCCCCGTGGGGCACCGCCGGTAACCTGGCCGCCCCCAGGAACAGCCGGGCTGGATCCCTTCCCTCCCCATCCCCTCCCGGTCACACCGACCGCCCCTCCCGCCCTGTATCTCCCCCGTGCCCCTCCCGGTGAGGCGGTCCCTGCCCCCGGTGCCCCCGCTCGGGTTCCCGGGCAGTAACAGCCCCGCGGTGCCCGCAGCCCCCCCCGCCCTCAGGACATGGACTGGGCCTCGCTGTTCCCGACTTTTTTTCCGCCCGACGCCCCCCCCGGGACCCCCCCGGCCCGCGTGGAGTTCGCAGACGTGGGGTGCGGCTACGGGGGGCTGCTGGGTGAGCACGGGGGGCACGGAGGGGCTGGGGGGCAGGGGGCACCGGGGTGGGGGGGGTCAGGGAGGGGCAGCGCAGGGGGCGAGGCGCTGCCGGGGGGTCTGACCGGCCGCCCCCGCAGTGGCGCTGGCCGAGCGCTTCCCGCAGACGCTGGCGCTGGGGCTGGAGCTGCGGGGGAAGGTGGCCGCGTTCACCCGCGCTCGGATCCGGGCGCTGCGGGCGGCACAGCCCGGCCGCTTCGGCAACGTGGCCTGCGTGAGAGGCAACGCCATGAAACACCTGCCGCACTTCTTCCGCCGGGCCCAAGTGAGACCCCGAGACCCCCGCAACACCCCCCAACACTCCCTGAAATATCTGCGTCCTCTGGACCGCCCTGAGATCCCCCTCCCCAAACCCTGGGGAGCCGATGAAACACCTGCCCCCCTCCTTCCCCTGGTACCCCCTAAAATGCCTCCCCCACCCCGGGGACACCCCTGAGTCCCCAGGACCCGTCTGGGTCCCCTCCAGCACTCCCAGAACGCCACAAAATCCCTGGGACCTCCCTGCACATTCCCAGCTGGTCCCACATGGGGACCCCCCAGCCCCTCCTCTGTTCCCCTTCCCCTGGCCCAGCCTGCACTCAGCAGTGCGGTTTGGGGGGTCTAGTAGGGCTGATGGCAGTGGGGTGCTGACCCCCGATCCCCCCCATTGCCCCCCCAGCTCTCCAAGCTGTTTTTCCTGTTCCCTGACCCTCATTTCAAGCGCACGAAGCACAAGTGGAGAATCATCAGCCCCGCCATGCTGGCAGAGTACGGCTACGTGCTGCGCCCCGGGGTGAGTCCCCAAAACCCCAGGGTCCCCAAAACCTCCTGACCCCGGCAGAACCTCCTGACACCCCCGGGGCTCCCTCCCACACCCCCATGTCCTTGCACAGCTCTGTGTTGTGCCCGTGAGGGAAGCCCCTGTCCCCCCCAGGGGTCCCCAGTTCCCCCTGACCCTCCCCAGCGCCCCCAGGGATCTCCAAATTCCTCAGGATTCTCTGGGATTGTTGGGGGGCGATGGTTCCAGCCTTTCTGGGAGTGGGAGGTTTTGGGGTGTCCCTGATTTTGAAGTCCCTCTGGGTTTGGTGCACACAGAGGGGTTGGGGTGTCACGGTGCACATCGGGGGGGTTTGGGGTGTCACAGTGTTTTTGGGGTGCCTGCACGGAGGGGGGTTGGGGTGTCACGGTGTTTTGGGGGTGCCTGCACGGAGGGGGGTTGGGGTGTCACGATGTTTTTGGGGTGCCCAGGGCCTGGTGTACACGGTGACAGATGTGCCTGAGCTGCACGAGTGGATGCTGCAGCATTTTGGGGAGCACCCCCTGTTTGAGCCCGTGCCCCCTGCCCAGCTGGTGAGAGCAACTGGGGGAAACTGGGGGGGAACTGGGGGGTGTTGAGGAGCACGGCAGACACTGGGATTGAACGGGGGAAACTGGTGGCTAATTCGGGGGGCACTGGGAGTGTGGGGGAACACTGTGGGATAACTGGGGTGCACTGGGGTTGGTGGGGGATACTGGGTGACTGACTGGGGGTTATGGGGTGGCACTGGGGCACAACGGGCTGTTCACTGGAGGGGCAGTGGGGGCTCACTGAGGAGGTCTCCGGTGTCACCGGGATGTCCCCGGTGCCACCCGCAGGCCGCGGACCCGCTGGTGCCGCTGCTGCCGTCGGTGACAGAGGAGGGACAGAAGGCGCAGCGCGCGGGGCGTCCCCCGTGCACCGCCGTGTTCCGCCGCCGCCCCGACCCCTCCTCGGGGACACCGTGACACGCGGGGAGGGGCCGGACCCCTCCCTCACACAGCCCCCTTTTTAATAAAGTCACAAAGTGTCCCCAAGCCTGGTCTGTCCAGCCTCCCCCAGACCCTCCCCCATCCCACAGAGAGTGCCGGGAATCGCCTCTTCCCCCCCAGAACCGGGAGGTTGGAGCCGGTTCCTGCCTCAGTTTCCCCATCGCAGAAACCCCCGGGGGGGTGACAGTGACATCCCCGCGCAGACCCGGGGGCTTTCCAGCGGCCCCGCCCGGCCCGGCCGGTGGCGCAAGGCGGAAATTCCCGGGAGTCCGGTACTGGGAGCGGGGGGCAGGGGCAGCCCTGTGTCCCCTCTGTGCCTCCCAAAGGGAGCTGGGCTGGCACCGACCCCTCCCCCGGGCTGCCCGCGGAACTGGGGTCACTGGTGGAACTGGGAGTGGGGCTCACTGGGTTACTGCGTGTCCCGCCTCGCACCGTGGGGACACGCAGCCCCCAACTCCTCCCAAAATGCTCCCCCGTGTTTGGGGGGCTGGGGTCCGTGTGTTAACGGGGGAGTTGGGGGTGTCACCGGGGGAGTTTGGGGTACCGAGGGTGTCAGCGGGGGGGTTTGGGGGTGCTGGGCCTGTCATCAGGGGGAGTTTGGGGTGCTGGGGGTGTCACTGGAGGAGGTTGCGGTGCTGGGGTCCTTGTGTTAATGGGGGGTTTGGGGGTGTCACGGGGGCTTTGAGGGTGCTGGGGGTTTCACTGGGGGAGTTTGCGGTGCTGGGGTCCGTGTGTCACCTGGGTTTGGGGTGCCGGAGGTGTCACTTGGGTTTGGGGTGCTGGGGTCCGTGTGTCACCGGGGGGTTTGGGGGGTCGGGGCCGTGCGCGCCCCCGGTTCTGCCCTCGCGTGTGCGCGCCCTGGGGGCGGGGCCGCGGAGCCGCTCCCGCCGCGCGCTGATTGGCCCGAGGGCCCCGCTATGCAAATTAGGCCGCGGGGGGGCGGGAGGGGCTCAGAGTGGGGGCGGGGCCTGGGCATTGGGGGCGGGGCTTGAATCCCAATTTGGTGCTGTGGGGCGGGGTTACTGCTCACGGGGGCGTGGCTACAGGCGAGGGGGCGGGGCCTGCCCGGCTGCACGTGGGCGGTATAAAACCCCGGTCCAGGGGCCCCCCCGCAGTCGAGGCTCGGCCCCGCGCCCCCCCCGGAGTCCTGCACGGTCCCCCCGTGTCCCCCGCCACCTCCAGCACCGCCCGTGGCTCCCAGGGCACTCCCCCAACTCTCCTGCATCCCCCCGGTGTCACCGGTGCCTTCCCCTCGTGCCCTCCCCGTGTCCCCCCGCTGCCACTGGAGCCCCCGGTGTGTCGCCATGTCCCCCAGCCTGCGCCTGCCCGCCCGGGCCGCTCTGCTGCCCCACTCCCTGCCCGAGCCGGGGGTCCCCCGGGGTCCCCCAATAGCCCGCACCCCACACCCCCCCCGGGGCACCCCGGAGCCCTCGCGCCTCCGGGGCCTGGCCGAGATGCCGGGGCCAAGCTCCACCGCCTTCATCTTCGAGCTGCTGTGCCGAGGAGGGGTGCGGAGGCTGCATGAGATGCAGGTAAATGGGGCTGGGGGCACCGGGAAACCCGGGGTCTGTGAGCTCGGGCTCGGAGGAGGCGGGGGGACCCCATTCCCACTGCTCCGGGGGGATCCTGCTCCCACTGTCCTGGGGTATGGAGAAGGTGGGGGGACCCTGGTGTCACAGTCCTGGCTTGGAGGGGACAGTGGCACCTCAGTGTCACCACCCCGAGTCTCGGGGGGACAGGAGGGACCGTGGTGCTCCCACCTGGGGGTGCAGAGGGGAGCGGGGAGGGACCGGTCCCTACATCTCTTATCTCTGTCCCCGGGGCTGGGTGGGGTTGGGGGACCCCAAGCTGATCCCCAGGATTGTGGGGATGGGGCTGGGACCCCGATCTGGTCCCCGGCTGAGACCAGCCCGGGCTCAGGCAGTGCTGGGACCTGGCGGGAGGGGAACAGCGGCACCGGGGACGGGGTTACTCCCCGGGGAGCACAGAGGGACAGGGACAGGGCCACCTCCAGGTGACTAGGTCACCCGAAAGGGTCACAGCAGGTCCGAGACCACAGGGACGCCAGGACCTGCCCGTGTGCTGCAGACTCTCCTGTCCCACCCCGTGTCCCCCTGCAACAGCCCCGGGGACCCACCCGCCCCCCCGGGTGTGACCCCCGGTGACCCCGATCCCTCCTTACCCGCAGCCTCGGTGCTGCTCCCAGTCCAGACAGTGCGGGAGCCTGGTGTGACCCCCTGTGTTCCCCCCACGATTACAGCCCGGACCCGGTTCGGGCCAGTGTGAACCCCCAGTGCCCCCCCGCAGGTCCATTCCCAGTCCCGGTTCGGCCCAATGTGACCCCCCCAGGTCCGTGGCCGGTCCCGGTTCGGGCCGGTGTGACCCCCCCCAGGTCCATTCCCAGTCCCGGTTAAGCCCGGTGTGACCCCCCCCGTGTCCCCCGCAGGTCCGTGGCCGGTCCCGGTTCGGGCCGCTCTGGAAGGCCCGGTTCGGCCCGGTGCTCACGGTGCACGTGGCCGACCCCGCGCTCGTGGCTCAGGTGCTGCGGCAGGAGGGGCCCGAGCCCAGGCGGGCCCTGAGCTGCCCCTGGAAGGAGCACCGGAGCCTCCGGGGGGTGCCGGGGGGGCTCCTCACGCTGTGAGTGCACGCAGGGGGCACTTGTGGGGGGGCTGACCCTGGGGGGACCCCACTCGGGGCTGGGGGCTGCTCGGGGGGGTGCTGGGAGTTGCCCGGGGGGGGTTGGGCTGGGGTTGGGGTTTGGAGCCTGGGGGCGGCACGGGGGATTGGGGGCTGCATGTGAGATTTGGGGGGGTTCACACTGAGGAGGGGAGGTCGCACAGGGACCCCCAGGGCTCCCCGTGAGCTGGGGGTGTCTGTACCCCCAGGGGCTCCCCCACACCCCCAGGGGCTCCCCCACACCGGTTCCGGGAAGGGCCCGTGGGGTGCGGGGGGGCCCGGGGTGACTCAGGCGTGATTCAGTCCCCCCTCCCCCTCCTCCTGCCCCCCACCCCCCCACGCAGGATGTGAGTAACTGCCCGGGGGGAGCCCGGCCCCGGCGTGGGCAGGGGGAGGGACCCCAAACCCCAGCGCAGCCCCCACCATGGGCACGGGGACCCGGCGGCTCTCACTGGTGCCCCTGATCACCCCTGGGGGGGCCCTGGCACTGCCTCGTGGGGGAACCATGACCCTCGTGTCCCACCCGTGTCCCACCTGTGTCCCACCTGTGTCCCCCATGTCCCCATTCCTCGTCCCTCATTTCCCCTGTACCCATCCCCCACCCATGTCCCCCGTGTCCCCACAATCCCCATGTCCCCATTCCCCACCCAAGTCTCCTGTCCCCCCGTGTCCCTGTCCCTCACCATGTCCCTGACGCCCTCCCGTGTCCTGGCATGCCCCATGTCCCCATCCCCCACCCATAGCCCCGTGTCCTTGTCCCTCTCTGTGTCCCTGTCCACCCCGTTTCTGCATGTCCAGGCCATGTCCCTGTCCGTCCCCTGTCCCCCACCCCTGTCTGTGTCCCTACATGTCACCCATGTCCCCATCCCTGTGTCCCTGTCCCCCTCTTCCCCGGTGTTCCCATGTCCCCTCCATGCCCGGTGTCACCTGTGTCCCCATGTCCTCATTCCTGTCTGTCCCTCCGTCCTCTGTGTCCCCCATGTCCCCCTCACACGTCCTCATGTCCCCCCATGTCCGTGTCCTGTGCCGTGTCCGCTGTCCCCCCTGCTCCCCCGTGACGCGTGTCCCTGTCCCCAGGGAGGGCGAGGCGTGGCGGGGGTCCCGGCGGCTCCTGGCTCGGGGGCTGCTGCGCCCGGGGGCGGCCGAGGCGTTCGCTGGCCCGGTGGCCACCGTGGTGGCCGAGCTGGTGGCGCGGCTGCGGCGGCTGCAGCGGCAGCACCCGCGGGGAATCGTCCCCGACATCGGCTCCGAGTTCAACCGCTTCGGCCTCGAGGGTGAGAGAGAGGGGACCCCGAGAGGGGATGGGGCACCCCAAAGGGACCCCCCATAGGGCAGCCCGGGTCCCCCAGCAGGATTCCCTGTGTCCCCCCAGGGCACCCTCTGTCCCTCAGCGTCCCCAGGGACTCTTGGATCTCCCCTCAGTGTCCTCATGTCCCCCTGTCCCCTCTGTCCCTGGGCCTCCCGTGTCCCCAGTGTCCCCAGGTCCCAAATGTCCCCCCCTGTCCCACAGCCATCTCCTGGGTGCTGTTCTCCTCCCGCCTGGGCTGCCTGGGGGACGCCGGGGAAGCCTCGGCAGACACCGAGGGTGTGATCCGCTGTGTGGGGACAGTGCTGGCACTGACGCTGGTGACAATGGCACTGCCCCGTCCCCTCCTGCGTGTCTTTCCTGCGCCTTGGGACGCTTTCTGCCACGCCTGGGACCAGCTCTTCGCCTTCGGTGAGGGGACACAGGGACAGGGAGGACAGGGGGGTCATGGGGGACACCATGAGGACATCCCATGGGAACTTGGGGCCATCCCACAAGGACTCCAGGACATCATATGGGGACATGGGGGCATCCCAGAGGGATATGGGGATGTCCCATGGCCACAGGGACACTCCTGCTCACCTTCTGCTGAGGGGACATGGGGACATGAAGGCATCCCGGGGCCATGGTGATGCACATGGTGAGGGGACACAGGGGATATGGGGACATCCAAGGGACACAGACACATCCCGTGGGGTCACAGGGATGTCCCATGACCGTGATGACAGACCCATGCCATCATCCTCTGCAGCCAAGGGACACACTGATGGTTTGTGGCTGCGGTGACACTGACAGGGTGTTGTCCCCAGTGAAGGGACTCGGTGACAATGCATGGCCACGGTGGCACTGATGGGGTGTTGTTGTCCCCAGCCAAGGGACACGTGGACCGGCGCGTGGCCGAGGTGGCTGCGCGGGGGTCGCTGGCCGAGGGGGACACGTGTGTCACCGACCTGCTGGCCCGGGAGCGCGTCCCTGTCAGCAGCATCTACGGCAACGTCACCGAGCTGCTGCTGGCCGGGGTGGACACGGTGAGGGGGGTGACACTGGGATGTCCCTGTTGTCACTATGGGTCCCACTGATGTCCCCGTGTCCCCAGGTGGCCAGCACGCTGGCCTGGAGCCTGTACGAGCTGGCACGGAACCCGGGGGCACAGGCGGCCCTGCACCGAGAGCTGGTGGCTGCCACTGCCACCAACAGGGCCACCAGTGGTGACAGTGCCACCACCGACAGTGCCACTGCTGCTGCCACCGCCACTGCCCTGGCACGGCTGCCACTGCTGCGTGCTGTGGTGAAGGAGACCCTCAGGTGACAGGGACACAGGGACAATGATGGGACACGGAAAGGATGTGGGAATGGGGACATGGGACACGGGGACAGGGATTGGAATGTGGGGACAGGGATACAGGGATGGAGAGAGAAATGGGGACACAGGGACATGGGGTGGGGAATTGGGGACAGGGTGAGGGACACGGGAATGGGAACGGGGATGTGGATAAAGATGGGGACAGGGACAGGACAGGGATGGGGCTGAAATGGGACAGGTAGGGATGGGGATGGAGAGAGAGTAAGACTGGGGACAAAATGAGGATGGGACAGGAATGGGGACAAGGAGGAAGATTGGAATGAGGACGAGGACAAGGAAGGGATGAAGACAAGGCTAGGGATGAGGATGGGGATGAGGATGAGGATGAAGGCAGGGACAGGATGAGGACAGGGAGGTGACATCCAGGTGTCCCCTGCAGGCTGTACCCCGTCATCCCGGGCAACGCCCGCGTTGTCTCTGACTCTGACATCCGTGTTGGCGACTACCTGGTGCCACGCCAGGTGAGCTGAGGGGACACCCCACACCCCAGGGGTCCTCGAGATGCCCCCAGGGTGTCCCCGCTGACCCCGTGTCCCTGCAGACCCTCATCACCCTGTGCCATTACGCCACGTCCCGCGACAGCCGCTTCTTCCCCGCGCCCGATGCCTTCCGCCCGGAGCGCTGGCTGCGCCGCAGGGACACCGGTGACACTCCTGGGGACACTCCTGGGGACACTCCTGGGCACCCCCCTGGCCCCACACACCCCTTTGCCTCTCTGCCCTTCGGCCTCGGCCCGCGCAGCTGCGTCGGGCGCCGCTTGGCTGAGCTGCAGCTGCACATGGCGCTGGCACAGGTGGGTGTCCCTGTCCCCGTGTCCCTGTCCCCGTGTCCCCGCCATGTCCCCATCGTGTCACTCACCCGTCCCTGCTCCCCCAGATCCTGCTGCGCTTCGAGGTGCGCCCAGAGCCCGGGGGGGGCCGGGTGCGCCCCATGACCCGCACCCTGCTGGCCCCCGGCGCCCCCATCAGCCTCTGCTTCCTCGAGCGGTGACACCGGGGACACCGAGGGGACATGAGGACACCAGGGACACCGAGGACACCGGGGACACCGAGGACACACCAGAGACTTTGGGGACATGGGGACACCAGGGATACCGAGGACACACCAGAGACTTTGGGGACATGAGGACACTGAGGACACTCGGGAGACCTTGACCCCGGTGGTGACTTCACCTCCAGTAACGACATTGACCCCACTGGTGGCCTTGACACCACAGTGTCGCCAAAGTCACCACCTGGACCTTGTGGTGGCCCTGACCCTGTGGATGACCCCAGCACTGTGGTGACCCCAGCCCCAGAACTGGCCCTGACACTGCGGTGGCCGTGACCCCACAGTGACACTGGCTATGGTGGCAGCCCCAGCCCCGTGGTGGCCTTGACCCCAGCAGTGTCACAAACCCTGTGCTGGCCTTGACCCCGAGGTGTCCCCAACCCCATGGTAACCCCAGCCTTGGTGGTGGCCGTGACTCCTTGGGGACCCCCACCCCGTGGTGTCCCCAACCCTGCAGTGACCCCTCTGCTGGGGGATTGGGGTTTATTTATTGGCCAATAAAGTGATTTCGGGATTTTGGTGCTGCCGGAGCTCCGGTCTCACTTCTCCCCCTCCCCCCGCCGTGACTCAAGCCCTCCCCCCGGGCTGGGGATGGGGGGACCCGCCCCGACCTGCCCAGGTGTGCCGGGGGGTGACGTGGCCCTGGGGGGGGCGGGGGAAGCACAGCCCCCTCCCCATGGGGGGGCTGGGAGTGCCCTGAGAGCCTCCGGGGGGAGGGGCCGCCCTCGAGAGGGGCTCAAAGGGACCCCCGGGACCCCCGGACGCCTCACAATGCCCAGGGGGGGAGGGGGTGATGGGTGACCACCCCCGGGGGTGTCAGGGGGGCACCCCAGAAGGGGTGGGGGGGGTGTCGGGAACCCCCGGTCCCCCGTGGGGTTTAACCCGGTCGGTACCACCCAGGGTGGGGGGGGCAATGTCCCAGGTGGGGGGAGGGGCTGACGTCAGCACAGGGGACTCTGGACCCTCGTGGGGACCCTGAGGCAGCCGAGCGTGGTGACCCCCCCGCCCCGTGCCCCGGGACACCCCTCCCCCAGGTGACAGAGGGACCAGGTGAGCAGGAGGAGGAGGAGGGGAGGGTCCCTCGGCCAGGAGATTTGGGACAGGGCTCACCTGGGCAGCCCTGGGGTCACCTGGGGTCACCTGGCCGAGGTGGTGGCGACAATGACAGACCCGAAATGGGGGGACGGGGGTGTCACCCTGGCTGGGGGCCCAGGTGGGGGTGGGGGCCCATCCTGGAGCCCCTGGGGGACGCGGGGGATGGGACAGGGTCACCTCAGGTGAGAAACCTGGAACGGGACAGGTGAGCCAGCCCGGGGGGACCTGGGGGTCTTGGGGACACCTGAGCC